ATTATAATATACGTGCCTATTAAAATAAATTAATATTTTTGTTACATCTTCATTTTTGTTAAAGAAAAATTATATTTCTGAACCTTTACTCATTTCTTTTTACCTATTTCTTTTTTAATTTTTTGTATTATGTATGGATGCATATATGTATGTATATATGTATATATGTGGGATGCCAGTGTGTACATGTGTCATAGGGGTGTCCCACAACCTAAAGTGGGCATCAGTTACTCACTATGGATACTGGGAACTAAACTCATGTTCTCTGGAAGAATATAAAGTGCTTTTGAACAACTAATTCATCTCTTGAGCCCTGTTTAGCAATTTCTTAATATGCAATTATTCACTGGCTTTTAGCTTAAACCCCCAAATGATAAGCAACAACCTGTAAATAAAATATAATTTCCCATTAAATCTTAGAAATGTGGATCATTAGTGGAGAGAATGGAATCTAGATGTTTAGGGAAAACAACTTAATGATAAATTAATATTGAATAAGTCATTCAATATTACATTCATTAAATAAAAATTCAGGATATAAAAAGTGTACTATTAGTGTGTCTTTGAATTTTAAAGGCTCAATCATTTAAATATACTGTCAATATTTGTCTTTCAGATCAAAATAATTAATATCACCAAACAACAAATCATGAATCCTAGAAAACAACTCCACCGCTGCAATTTAAGGTTTCTTTAGACCATCTTATGATGAATTGCTTCCCTCTTCCTTTTATCTAAATTCCTTCTGAAAAGAATGACACAAAAATGGCAAAAGTCATCTAAGTCAAAAGAATGTGGAGATTGTTGTTTTCTATAATGGTTTATAGATGAGTTTTATGTCATTTATCTGCGCTAATGTTATCTTTCCACATTGCTTAATCCTGATGGTCAATTATCTTCACTATATCTACACACACACACACACACACACACACACACACACACACACACACACACAGTGCTATACTATACATCTTTGCAATTGCTGATTTTTCTCTCCAAGAAGTGCTTATTGATATATCAGGTGTCTTTATTTCCCTATTAATTCATCCTCTGTTCACTATGCTATTTGATTTTGTTTTTCATTTGTTTTAAATCAATCTTAAAAGTATAATGGTTTCTCAGACTGTTCCCATTATTGTGGAATTTTGAGATATGTTTAAGCACATTTGTTCTTTACACCTGTTACATTATAAAGCCAGTACTTGTGTTAAAATTCAATTGTTCTACCAGATATGTCACCTAAGCTGGTTCCCTCATTTTCTCATTAACATAGGGCTAATAATTACACCCACTGATACTATGGGTGAAGTGATTTTTGCGAAATCATCAAATAGTGCTTTCCAGAGAGTAAGTTTTTAGTAAATGATATAATGCTGTTGTTAAGATTGCTTTTATTCTATCTTAAATGTAGAAAACATATGTGCAAACTTTTGAACTCATTTAATATATCTACAATACTGAAAATACAAGAAAACTCTCAGATGTCCTGTCAATCTTAGTTGACATAATTTTCTCAGATGAAACAAAAATTAATAAATAAATAAAATAAAACAAACAATAATCCAATTGTTAGCAAATCCATAAAAGCTTTAGTTTTCTAAGGAGAAATCAGAAATCTTCTCATCTTGAAACATGATTTCTATGACTAATACAGATGATACAACATCCAAACCAATGCAACATCCTAACATTTAGTCATGCAAAGTTTTAGGCATGAGAGAAAAAAAAAAAGTCTAGTTTGTATTCAATGCCTTGGTGTTCTAAGATGAAGTTCGTGCCAAGAAAATAATATATGGCCAAAAGTACAAGGTTTTTAAAATTGAGGCCAAAGTCAAACTACCAACAAGGCTTTCTCTGATTAACAATACTTTTGTAGAAATAAAATTTTATCATTGTCTTTGGTGATTTCTTTTACAGCTGTTATTTCTTTCAAACGTATGTGATAAAGACTATTAAAAGAATACTGGGCCAATACAGTATTTTATATTATTTATTCTTTGGTCATATGACCAATGCCCAAGAAAATCTTGGACATACTTGGTTTAGATTTTGTGTCATTGTTATATATCTATATGTAGATATATAGATATCTGTGTGTGTGTCATTAGACAACTTTCTTTATATTTACATCCAAAAACTATTGACATTGTGTTAATTTATAGAAATTACAAGCTGTGGATCCTTCCAAGAAACAAACCAACTCATTATCTTGTCAGGAAAACCTCAGACCTGAATACCTGGCTTTTTTTCGATACTAAGATGCAGTTCAGTGTCTAGTGAGGGCGTTTAATGTCTGATGAGGAGATTTCTATAGAAAGGTGTAACAGACACTAAGTCAGAGAAGCAGGAGACATTTCAGAAAAACAAAACATTTAAAATTTCATTTAACCATATACAGAAAGTTTTTCTAATCATTTGGTGATATAAGAATATAAACTTTAGGCTGAATAAATTTGATGTCTATATAGTTGATATTAAATAGTTACACATTATTTACTCTTCTAGACTGATAGCACACACACGCACACACACACAAATGTAGAGAATAAGGAGGCAGTGGGAGCTTAGAGATCCTCTTCGTAAATCCCTGATCTCATCAGTGAGAACACTGAGGCCTAAAGCAGTAACCACATGCTTAATGGCCACTACAATGCCTGTATTAGCTTTAGCATGGACGGAAAAGCTTTAGATTCTTTTGCTGCCATTCCTTAAAGAAATTCCAAAGTAGCTCAGCTATGAACAGAGGTAGGGGAAAAGCTCACATTTTGAATGATCTTCAAATAGACATCAGTTTTAACTTTTCATCACACAGTGAGGATTTTTGCCAACCTGGAAGAGGGATTCACTGCCGTTCCTCTATATTTACTTCATGCATTTGGAGCGCATTACAAGACGATGAATCTGCTTTCAGCTCCCTAGTGCCAAAACATTCAGGAAAAGGGAAATCAAAGAGGAACTTCCACCTCTTTAAAATAGTGTACCACTGCTGCTCTGGCGTTTCCCCTTTGTCGCAAGCATCTCAACAAAACCCAATGGTCATTAGCTAGCAATTGTGACAAACCTATCGTGAAGCCATCAAGAGTCTAGGTGTGTCAGACTACTGTACAGTCAGCTGCAGTAGGTGTGAACACGAACCCAGCCTTGAATTGAAGGAGATGTATTCTTTTAAAATCACACATTTTTTTTTTTTTTTTGGGAAAAAACTTTGTCTTCTGATATCGAATGCTAGCGTCCTAAAATTGCCTTTCTGGTGCCTCTCTTTGAAACAATGAATGAATAAATTGAAGGAGGATATTAAAGCAGGAACACAACAGACGGAAGGCATGGGGGAAAAAGATGCTCTTATACTGTCCTTTCCCCTAGTTATTTGTTACCCTTTCAATGTAATGGACCAGGGGCAATTAAAATAATTTTAAAAATTAAGACTCTGACATTATTATACCCGTGTTAATTTCACTAAAATGAACTGCATTTTTTCTCATTACGTAATTTCACTTCTAAAGTATTCTATCACAAAACATCCTATCAGTGAAAAAAGCGAAATAAATTCTCATGTATTACCTAGCATAGTACAAATACCAATAGTCAAATTCTTTGATTCCCTGGGACTGCAAACCTACATACTGTAGTTGAGTTTAGATAGTCTACAGTTCACTTCTCAAGAACACGTTGAGTAATTATCTCATTCCAGAAGAACGGAAAGGGTCAAAGGCGGTGAGGGATATGGGTGTTTAAGAAACTAGCCACGGATCAGCAGAGCCTGCGAATGCGCTGTTATGTGACGACAAGGTTGCTGGTGCCACAGTCTGCAAAGGGCAGCTGGCGCTGTGCCAGACTCGGGGACCCGCTGCTCCTCCAACCGAGGAGGACCTGGCTTCCCTTCCTCCTTCAGGGACCTCTGGTCCTCGCAGGCACCTTAGGGAGAATCCTTTGCCCTAATTACCCCGGGAGGAAGACGCGCCTTTCTCGGAGACCGCTAGGCAACACTCACCACCGCAGCCTGCAGATTACTTCCCTCTGTGGGTGTGCGACTTCGTTTAAGCGAGTCACACTTACAGTAGCTTGTCACTGGCGAGGCCTCGAGCAGCAGAGGGCGGGGGAGCGCGGGGCGGGCGGGGGGGGGGGGGGGAGGGAGGACGCGGAGGAGGAGGTGGGAGGCGCAGAGTCGGGCGGCTCGGGGAGACGCCGGAGCTCCAGACACAGCAGGAGCGCGCCGCGCGGGTGCAGTCGCCAGGCAGCTCGCCCTGGCCGCCGCCGCGCACTCCGCCTCCGCGCTGAGCAGCGGGAACCTCAGCGGCTCGAGCCGCCGGGCTCAGCTCCGCTCCCGGGTCCGCGCTCCAGCCTGCTCTGCTCGCCGCACCGCCCCCGGCAAGCGCTCAACCCTCAACGTTTGGACTTCCCTCTGCCGGCCTCTCCAGTCGCTAGATCGCTGCCTTTGCTCCACTCTCCTCGCTGTTTGCCACACCACGCTAGCTCCACTATTCTCCCGTTTATCCGTAGGCACCCCTGCTTGCATTTCCCCCGCTCCTTTATATGGAAAGCATCATTTTGATTTAAGATGAGTCGTCTTTTTTAATCTCGCCCGTTTCAGTACTGAAGACTGAAAGGGAACCTTGACCACCACTCCAACCCTGGTGGCACTTAAAAAAAAAATCACAATTTTAAAAGAAAGAACAAGAAAAAAAGAAAAGTCTTACGAGGCAAAGGAACGGAACTCGGGACCCTCTGCAGACCCTTGATTCTGACCACCCAGGACTATACTAGTCATCAGAACTCCTAATTTATCTCATTCAACTGAAAGGGAGGGCGACTGGAGCTAGAAGCAAACTTCGGTGGTCTCCCTGGATCCTTGATTCCCGCATTTGGAGGGGTCGAGCGCCAGAAGACACAGGACCCCACCAGGAGGAGGAGTCCCGCGTCTCTCTCTTTTCTCCCACCAAGCCTGAACCTTAGACTGAGACACGCGGGATATAGAGGAGGAAAGAGGGTAGTAGAAGATGCGGGGCTCCGGGCCCCGCGGTGCGGGACGCCGACGGACCCAGGGCAGAGGTGGCGGCGACGACATCCCCCGCATCCCTGTCTCTCTGGCAGGCTGCTATTCTGCACCTCTTAAGGGTCCCCTCTGGACGTGCCTCCTCTTGTGTGCGGCGCTCCGGACCCTTCTGGCCAGCCCCAGCAATGAAGGTAGGGTAATGGAGGTGGGGACCGCGGCGCCCTGGGATGGATGGGTGAGGTGGAGCTTGTGTCAGCCGGTCGTAGCGCTCCAGGCGCTGCTACCTAGACCAAACCTCGCTCTTCCTCTCCAGTAATGTTTGTCCGCTTTTGCTGGCGTTTCCGGATCTCTCGGGTATCTTTGGTTGCATTGTTTGACATATCTGCAGAGTGCTTACCAGGATAGGAACCTGCCCGTGGACTGAGGCTGGTTGGGGGCTGGGAAGTAGAAAGCCTGACGGAAAGAGGTCTGAGACCTGAGCTGGGAGGTTGGGCGCGGTTGGGTCCTGGCAACCTAGAGAAGTGACACATCCGGCTTATTGAGAAAAGCGACAACAAGGCTCTTAGGATCAGTGGGGGTTTTAGAGCCATTATTTAATGTTGGTGTTTGAAGACGATGTTAGGGTGATTGGTGCTTTTATTTTGGAGAAAGTGCCTGCCCCGGGAGCTATCTATCATTTAGGGCACCATTAACTACTATTCCGGCCTGAGTAGCAAGAGCTTTAATTTTTAAAAAGAGGGGAAAATGAAGGGCAGAAACTGATGGGTGCCCTTCTATTGGGGGGGGGGTCCCTAACACCCCACAGCAAAGGGAGAGGAAGGCGGGAAGGTAGGGTGGTGTTAGAGGAGACAGGCATTGTGGATGCTTGGAAGTTGTTCACAGAACCCACTAAGGCTTCCTGAGAGGAGATCTGTCCTAGCCAGAAGGCACCAGGTCCTGAATAAAGTACCCAACCCTCCTATCCGCAGTTCTTTGCTCCGGACTGTTTGCCTTCCTCTGCAAGAGTAAATCTGGAGTCAGGAACACCACCTGTGCTGCTGTTCTTTCACTAGAGCTGGTCTCAGCCTGCCAGATAACAGTCTTGCTCCATTTTAGGGCTTTGCCTGGGGTCCTCTCAGTCACTCTAGGATCCGCTGCTCCTCGTTCACACTTCATGTCTCTCTCTGGTCTCAGCTGAAGGGTCTAAGCCTTCACAAGGGGGAGGGTGGAGCAAGGGGTAAGACAGTCAGCATCTCAGACCAGATCCTTGTCACACGGAGAGGAGAGGTCCTCTCCACAGTGGAAACGTCAAACCCCTGTCCTCTTGTCTAGAAGCCTGGGGTTTAGCTTTGGGCTGTGGATGAGACGCCTGACGTTTAAAACCTTAAATAAACCCTTGCACTTGGGGATGGGAGATGCTGGACCCGAAAAGATGAAGCGGCAGCAGCAGAGTGGTGTATGCCCTCGTGACTAGCATGGATTCAGTCTGCTGTAGAAGACGCTGAGCTAGTAACCCCCAGAGTTGCCAGTTCCCAGGGAGCCCTGTGAAAGCAGGGCAGATGGAGACTCACACCCCACCCCACTGACTCTCTCACTATGTTTATTATTCAACATCTGTTTAGAGGAATATGTGTATCTGTCGATATCTGTCAGTAATAAGACACGCTTTAAGCCAAACAAGTTGCTTTTTTTTTCCTTTGTAAAGTTTTTATAAAGTGATGTATTTTTTTGTTTGTTTGTTTTTAGACTTGGATCTTTTATTAATGTCTTACGCTAAGACCATTAGATTAGAAGTCTAAAGGCTGTAAAAGGGCTAATGCAAGAAAGGGGGGCTTTAGGGGAGGGAGGAGCAGGGAGGAGGAGAAAAGAGGAGGGAGGAGGAAGGAGGAGCTTTTAACTGTTTTATTCCAACCAAAGGACCATCCTGACTGAACTGCAAAATGATTCAAGGGTAGTATCAGTCATTTTTTCCTCTACATAGTAATTCCAACCAGGGATCTACGACTCCCTTGCCATGAGTGTGATGGGGAAAGGAAGTGGACTCCAGGAAGTCTTTATAAGGGAACTGGAGAAATAAATTCTCAAGGAGTGTGACACACAGTGTGAACAAGGGTCAAGACTAAGGGAGATGGATGCAAGCGGAAGGAAGTGCGGAAATAGCGCAAGTCTCCGAAGGTGCCATAAGCAAAACTTGCATCTCGTGGGCTGGAACCCAGCTAGCATGAGCTTATACACCCACAGGTTGCACCGTCCTTCCCTGCTAGGCCAGTAGAGCACACAGCTGACGTGGTTGCATGCCTATGAGGTTTGGAGGGTCTAAAAACAGCAAGCTCTCTTTTTCCCCTGGTGCTCTGAAGACACCTAAAAGCAAGTGTGCCTGCTGTTTGGGGAATATATTGTGATGCATAACTAAAAATTTCATTTTAGTACTATTTGAGGTTGTGTGTCCAACTCATTCCTTTGCTACCCGACAGGATACTATCTTTAATACCACCCGAGACCCGCCTGTTTTGTGAAATCTGGATTCTTTTCAGCTTTACGTTTTCTTTACCACTGCTCCTAGACGTGGAGCGGTGACATAATAAAAAGACTCTAGCACCACTCTCCATTATTCATTTAATGGATAAGATAAAATACAACTTCAACTTGTTTTTTTTTTTATTTTTTTTCTAGAAGAGCTTTGGAAGATCAAGTGCAGAAATATTTGTTTGGTATGACATAAATTTATTAATAAATTGATTAATAAAATTGACTGTCTACAGCTTACAGAGATGTTTAGTGATTCTTCGGTCAAATATGGGTGTGTGCATGTTATACATATAGAATATATATTACACGATTATGTGATAAAATATGAGACAAGAAGAAATAAATGTGAATTATCATTTATGCTTGCTAGTCCAGTTATTTTTATCTTCATCTTTCATAGGTAACTGCATTCTAAACCAATTATACAATCAATATTTATTCACCAAACCATACTTGAAAGAAACAATCTGCATTAAGAAAGACAAATCTACTAAAAATGAAAATAATTTCAAACATTTTAGCAGAAGACTTTTTTTTTCAGACTGACCTAGGAAGACAGTATTAGAAAGTGCATCAACAAGTGAATACTCTTAGGAAATTTAATAAGAAAAGGGTCTGTACCAACAATTCTGATTTTTTTGGAGGTGGCCCTGAACTTATTCAATAACTGCCACTTTTTGCTGTCTGGAGATATATTTGTAAACAAGCATTATTTGACAAGTGCTTTTCACAGCAGGGATTCTTGGCCAATTACTGCTGAACAGCTCTGCGTTGAAAATGATTCACCCTCAGTGAATCAAGCTTATTTCATTGAAGCCACAGTCAGTAATGCCTCAGTAAAGTGCTGACAGTTGTCAGCAGTTTGGATTTGAAAAGTCCAGTTCCTTGTCTCTCAATGTTTTGTGTGTTTGAGAAAGTGGGCTAGAAGGTTCTTGGGAAAGAAACACAGAAGAGGGGAAATTGGCATAAAAAAAAAAAAAAAAAACTTGAAAGACAACCATAAAACAGTAAATACTTTCACTGGAAAGAGACTGAAAGTGAAGTTTGTTTTAGGATTTTTTTTTAACTTATAATAGAACCAGGCCCATAAAACATATGTAAGGACACAATAGACTTGTAAAACTAAATGGCTTCATTTTGTAGCCCTGTCTTCCTGCTGTAATTCATTTCCTTTTAGATTAACCGGCAGGACCCCACAGAAAAGGACAGTAAAATTGTTCCCTCACCAGGACACTACTGAACAAGAAAAGAGAGCCATTACATCCCTTTGAATCATAGGTTGTTGGAACCAGAAGGGACCATGGAGAGTTTTAGCTTTTTGCTTAATAAACCATGAAGGTTTGGGGTGGGAATCTTGACATTTTAAGCTCTTCCTTGGTATCAGGGTGACAGGTAAGATGATTTCATTTCATTACGTAAAACCGGGAGGGGGGAAGTATAGCAATTCCCAGACTTTCGGTATAGTAACGCTCTTAAAATTTCAACCTACATACCATATTTTTAGCATAGATAGAAGAAGATTTGCAGTTCTGTTATTTGTTTTTCTGATTGGTTGGTTAGTTTCTTTCTGATTGGGTACACACCAGATCGTTGTAAAGGCTATGCACAAACTCTTATCAACGAACACTAGTGCACAGATTTTGATATTTAGAAATGCACTATTTACCATATTTAAGTACTCACAATAAGTTATGAATTGTGAGCATTTAGAGTACATGGCAACTGCACAGAAAATATCAACCCTAAATGACTTAGCTATTTGTAGAGAGACATTCCCAAAGCATTTGATTCAGTAATGTCACGGACAGAAAACTAGCAGGGCTCTGTTATTCCCAGCTAGTATATTGGCTGTTGACTTTATCATTGTGTTATCTATCGTTTGTTGGTGTGCTTCTTAAGACATTTGCTGCAACGGGTAACTAATTTCTTTTTCAACTGAGAAAACCATATTACAGTTTCCTGTAAGTACAGAACATGAGGGTCCATGATTGTACTAACTGACCCTAGCAACTTTTTATTTCCGGGGTCAAAATTAAGTCTAAAAAAGTGCTTCAAACTTCTTTTAAAAGCCATCCTTTTAATTTAAATTAGCAGATGTAGTCTACTTGTAAACAAGTTGAGTTTTAGTTTGATGTATTTACTTAGCTGAATATTATGATGATATTGGAAATCTTATAATAAATACCCTCACAAAAATTTTATAAAGTATCAGAATTAATTGAAGTATGAATATAAAATTATTTATTAATTACTAAAGTGCATTATTTCTATTTTTACCATAAGGAGCATGAATATAAAGAAGCATGAAAGTGAAACGTAGAAATGGAGAACTTAGAAACTGAGAGTGTTTTTTGCTGTTCTATACATACAGTGATATACGTCAATAGGGAAAGAGAGACACATGCTATCATGTTTGACCAGATAAATGCATAAGAAGTTGCTTGTGAAAATTAATATCCTTGCATACAAGTAATTTGAAAATTGTTTGCTAGTAAAATATTGTGTGTTCTATTTGAGCCTCAAGAGTAAATGAACACACACGCACACCCACAGTGTATTTAAAGGTAGGTTTCAAAAGAGCTCTAGAGATTTACTGAAGACAGATTGAAGTGGTTCATGATTTTTGGATACAGTTTAATAATGTTTACACTTAAAATAAGCAAGAAAATGTCCTTATTCAGTG